AGGGAGCCAACAAAAATCAGCACCGTTCATGTGCTGTGAACACTTAAACTTGGGTTAGATGTGTTATGTATGGATAGTTTGGAAAGTGGTATGTTTTAGTAGACTACTTTTAAGGAATAATGACTAAATTTAGATCTGATTATGAGGTTATAACTTAAATAGTTGCAGAAGAAAAAAAAAGAGAGAAAAGAACTAGCTATCGCCCCTAGGGTCCTTAGCCATCACACCTAGGGCTTGAATTGCATAATATCAATCTTTCAAAGCATATAATTGCTGAAAATTCCTCGGTAAATATCTCTGTCCTTCATTAAAAATATTGTTATCTATCCATAGAGTTCTACGTATTTCCTACTTCTAAAATATTAGGACTCCAAAACACTCTAAGACTCCAAATTACTTATAGAGTAGGAAATTAACATAAACTAGAAAGAACTCTAAGCTCTGTAAAACATCCAACACTACAATTCGACCCAAAAAGATGATCCACAGGTCGTAGAATGACCTGTTCCAAAAATCCTCCCGACTACTAATAAATGTAAAAAAGACACAAACAAAAATTATGAGCAAACTAACTCTAAGTTACTCAAAAATAAGAACTAACTAGACTCAAATACGATATTCAAAAGGTTCCATGTGAGTCTGTCTTCAAAACAAGTCAAATTTTATAGTTTTTCACATATCTGAATTGTAGTTTCTTGAACATCTTATGAGTTGAATCACATTTGTATTTCTTCTACGACATAAAGGTAGCTATGTGAAATAGAATTGAAGCTATACTTGTGTTTATCGCATAGGGTAAGCACTTACTCCTTTATATAAGGAACTCATTGTTCATATCAAATTGTCTTGATCTTACTGTATTAGGGAACTATTGGTTGGTTATGTGGAAAGATCAGATAAAACTAATATGGACAAAGAGCCCTGAATAGAAGAAAAATAAGCCCTGGACATAGGAATTAGACACAAGTTTGCTAATGAATACGAATATGACACTCGATACTTGTCAAACACAAGACCACGTCCATAACTAGAAGAAAAATGTATACCTTTAGGAGGTGCAAACACAACTTTATTTCAGAATAGAAATAGTATGATCATAAATAAAGATAAACTATGCTTTGAATAAATCAATTAGAAGTCTGACAATTCAAAGGGCAAAAATAACTAAGTTACTTGCAGGTTTGCATGTTAAGATTCAACTGAAATCTATTGGACACATGGGAGAAGGGGACATTCAAAAAACTTAATCGTTAACGACAATTTATAAATAGCAAAGAATGCTCATTGGCCCTGAAACCCTCCCCCCCCCCCCCCCCCCTTTTTCTCTTTTTTCTCCCCACCACTCACGCACAACGGAAAACAAACTTCTTAGTAAGGTAGATTCCTAACAAAAGTGAAGCACCCAAATACAAATGCTAAAAGCCTTATCTAAACCTTGGAATGATCAAAATTGATTGCACCAGTGGAATCAAGCCCAATTTTAGAACATTTTTTTTTTAGATGAGAACACACACATACCTGCTGAGGAATACACTAGAGATCATCCCATTCCAGCAAGATATGAGCATACAACCCTACATTAAACACAACTTTTGGAACACTTCACATCCAGCCCTCTATAACGATATGAATAAAGTTTTCCCACTCAATCAAATATGCATGTCTCCTCTTTATTTTCTTCACCCATAGTTACATATTCAATATCCCATTGTAATCTACACTAAAAATGAGCTCTAAGCAGTTGAAATTAAAATTATAAATCCACCACATTCCCAAAAATACAGAGAAACTACAGTAAGCATTAGAGTTATCAAAAATATGAACATGTCATAGCATGAAACAGATCCTTGCATCTGGAAATGATTACCAAAAACCCTTTTCACAAAATATCTTCAGATGTCAAACTAACCACAGATCTACAAACCTAATAAAAGCATACTTTCTTAGCATTGAATAACTAAAGCTAACAAAAGAAAGGATTCTGGACCGCATACAGTGATGTATTAGTCAGATGTGTGCAAAAAATACATCACCAATATCTATCCTTTTGTCCTGCATAGTATCTTTACACACTATTTTCTTTCAAGGCTTCACTCCTACAGTCCTAGTTGTTTCATCCCCTTGATTGAAACCAAGCTCTCTGTGTAGCTAAAAGCTTCATATGAATGTGCCTGAACTTCGTCAATTGAAATATTTTTAATTCCATTAGTTTTGGGATCATACAGGAACAGTTTTCCTTTAGTACCCTCTGCTACAATCTCTCCATTCTTTGAACACTGAATGAGTCTCTCCACCTTAAACGGAATTGGTCCAACACTGAACTTCTTACTCCAACTCTTCTTGCAATCATCCAACACCCAAACATCAACACATACACCTTTGTTCGATTCTTCGCTCAAATAGTAAACAAGCGAAGCAAGACCATCCTTCAATTCCACGAGTCGTGCATTAGTCCCTTCGCCCATGGGAAAATTTGGCACTGCCCCTTGCAGAAACACCTCATTCTGGGTGTCGAAAAATAGCAAAACCTCAAGAAATTTAGACTCCGATTCGATAAACGCAGTCCAATAGGGTATTCCCTTCACAATTGCATTGCACCTAGTCTGGAATAGATAAAATGGGGTCTCAACCTGAATCCTTTTCCAAGAATCCCTATTAACCGAGTACACCTGAACTTTCACTTGTATTTTCTTTGGCATTTTCGGCCTCATACACATTATCCGCACGATTTTGTGATCATTTTCAACTGGGTCAAAGCCAAGGCCGAGAGAAACTTTATCAACTTCGCCTTGATCCATTTTTGTGCTTGGAAGTCGAATTGTCTTGTACATTCTCGTTGAAGGGTTCCATAGAACGATCATTTGACCCAGAGGTGGGCAACCGAGACAGACAAGGCCATTACACGAACCCACCAAGTCCATTTGGAGGAAGATTTCTGGGAAAGGGTGGTCAAGATTGATGGGTTTGTTGTCAATAGGATTGACATTGCAAAGAGACATGATGTGGTCATACCATAGGGAGAGACCGTGGATGATTACAGCGTCGTTCTTGGGGTTCATATCGGTGTGATTGAGGTGGAGTGAGATGAATTTAGGGTTCTTGATAAGGACAAGCCAGGGTTTGGACACGGACTTGAAGCGGAGGAGAGATTTGACTGGAAGTCTTGAGAGTATTTGAACGATCAGGTCTTGGGGGAAATTGCAACTCGACATTGCTGCAGAGGAAGATGATTTGGTTTCCGACATATTTCCTTTTCCCTTTCCTTCCCCTTTCCTTTTCCCTCTCCCTCGGTTCGTCATTTTCTGAGAATCTATTCGAATAAGATGTGAGTTCAGCGAGGACAGTGACTGTCGGGAAGTTTAGTTGATCGTATCCGATAGGAAAATTACATACAAATCCCTTCAATTTGTCCTTAATCATTTAAACCTCGAATATTTAAAATATTATCCATGAACTCCTGACGTTTGTACACAGTAACGTCAAAGTCTGTTAATATAGTTATTAATAAATTACGCTTAAACACTCTAAACTATATACACATCTAACACTTTAACTTTTTCAAATTTAAAATATTACACTTAGATCAAAATAATTTTATTAAAGATAGAATATTAAATATTTTAAATGGTTAATTACACTGAAAGTTCTCACAATATGAGGTTTGTCTTATTTTGGCCTCCAATATTTCAATTGAATTATTTTAATCTTAAAATATTGAATATGTTTCTATATAGTCTCTCAAGTAGATAGAGTTCAGATTACTAACAATTGTTTTATTATAAATTTGTCACGTGATACTTAAATTTGAATAACTTTTAACAAAATTTTTACTTAAATTTTAGTTAAATAACTACCTAAATTACATAGTTTTAATCATGAGCTATACAAATTTTGGTAAAAAATCTATCCATATTACACATTTTTTGTCAAGAATTATCCAAATTTTGTTTAAGAGCTATCAACATTATTTTTTATTTATATTTAGGTATTATCTGACAAGTTTATGAATAAAAATCATTAACAATCTGGACGTTGTCTGCAGAAGGAATCATATAAAAATATATTCAATATTTCAAGAACCAAAATAATGTAATTGAAACATTATAAATCAAAATGAGATAAATCTCATATTTTAATGATCTTTTGTGCAATTACCCCTTATTTTAAATTTTACAATCAAAATTCATGTTCTATTACTTCATTTATTAAATAAAATAAAAAAAACACAAATCTAATTTTTTTGTTAAAAAAATTATAATTAGTACTATTGATATCAAAATTTAGACGACTGCCATATTAGTTTGTTAAGCTTCAATTACCTGAAAGAAGTCAAAGACCAAAGGGGAGTTTCTAGAGGTTGACTCTCTTATGTTTAAGTCAATAAATGACTCAAAGGTATGAATTACATATAATAATCAATATAAATATGTCAAAAAACTCGATTTAACACTCATTTATATACAATTATATTATTTATTTGAAATAAAACAAATAAACCAAATAAGGGATCAAGCTGTAATAGACGCAATGTCTTGTATCTTTTATTTGGATAATTTGGTCATTTAATAGATTCTGTTACTTTTGTAACTAATAAAGAGTTTAAGTATTATACGTTTACAAACTTCAAAGAATTTAAATATAATTTCCTAATGAATAGACTAACGGACATTGACGACAAGTGCTTCTAACTTTTATCTAATATTGATGGAAAAAAAAGTTTTATCTAATAAAAACGTGTCACATATAAAAAAGCTTATATTTAATATTTTTATTGTTTAGTTAATAATTACAAATCTTTGAATTCAAATTAACGGTTGAGATGGATTATAATTATCGAAACCTTATCTTTTCATCAAACTTTGCTAATTTTTGAATAAAGTAAATTTAAAATTTCTTTGAACTTGTCAACAACAAATTCTTTACACATCAAAATGTGCTAGTGAATTATGAGAAGCTCTCTCTCTCTCTCTCTCTCTCTCTCTCTCTCTCTCTCTCTCTCTCTCTCTCTCTCTCTTTTATATATATGTATATATATAGATAGATATATGCTGAAAGATTGGCCGAATAAAATAGTTTCGCCCAAACAACTCGATAAGATAGCTGAGTTTTGTCAAAACAACTAAAATTAATGAACTCTTTGTCAAAAGACTAGCTCAGCTCATTATTCTTACCAGACACCTCAGCTTAATCAATCAATACAACCCAGTTTGAAGTTTCCAAATCATGATAGTAATCACTATACTATCAAATGGAGATTAAGTAATGACTTCATCGTCCTAACAAAAAAATTCACAAAATTAGAGTCAGCTCCAATGAAACTCAAACTCTTGAACCCCAAAGATGCTGCCTCAGTTGATGGTACAGGTATGTATTCCAAATTTAATTCAATTATGATCATCTTTAATTCTATATTAACTTAGATACTGGAGAGTCGACTTTTGAATTTCCTTTGGCCTTTGAATCTTTTTTCAAGTGAATATAGTTTATCAAGTTGAAGGTGGTATCGATAGACTTTTGGTCTAATGATACTCCTATAGGATTCAAATCTCCTTCCCTTCTCCACCCCTAAAAAAAAATAAAAAGGCTTAAGGCCATAAAAAAATTTACATCAACACTTTAACATTGTTTTTCAATCTTACCCCTCAAAAAAAAAAAAAAGGCTTAAGGCCATAAAAAAATTTGCATCAACACTTTAGCGTTGTTTTTCAATCTTATGATATCACATAGTGGGATTTTTGTAATTAAAATCTAATGGAACAATAGAATAATGGCAACAAAATTATGAATTTTTGAAATTATTTTGAAACACTCATATAATTATATAATTTTAGGGGCCTCATACAAATTTTTCCCATGAAAAATTAAAATTATTAATTATGTTTTTAGTTTCTAATCATTATTGAGAGAGAAAGAGAGAGAGAGAGTCTGACCTCCGGGGATAGGTGGGTAGTGGTATGGAGAGATGGATAACTCCAGGTAGTAAGAGCATCTCCGAGGCCCCTCGCCATTTGAGTCTTTTAGCCATTCAAGCGAGCAAAATTTCAAATCGTGTTCTCCAACGCTTTAGCTATTCAGCTCGCCAAAATCCAGGAAGCCAAATTGCTCGCCAAATTTGGAGAGAAGAAGTTGCTCGCCACATCTCCCCCTCCTCTTGCTGCTGTGAACCAGGTATACAGACTGAAGAGTTGCTCGTCCATTGGGTTCACTCGCAGCTGGAGAAGCACAAAAGAAGATCGTCTGAAGTTGTTCTTCTTCTCGTTGCATACAGCCCAATCGGACGATTCTTCACGTAACGGGTTTGCACACCAAACTCTGTGATTTCTCCCTATCTGTTTCATGCGCACCCATCTCGCCCATTCCTGAAACCACCCTCCCCCAAATTTTGAAACCTACCCCCAACAAATTCTGAAACCCCTCCTCCAAATTCTGAAAACTCTTTTTGACCCCGCATTTGGATGTATAATAGAATATTTACATTTAGACCTCTTATGAAAGATTAATGTAAGTATTTGAGAAAATTTTAAATTTATGAGACTTATTGTGCAATTAATTTTTGTTATTTAAAGTTGATGAGTGTTAAATTGCCATTAAGTTGTATTATTTAAAATTTGATTAGAATTATTATTATAGTATAATTTTGGTTGGGCTTATGATTATTCATACTTTGAGTTAAAATTTTAAATTATATTATTGAAAATTAGTTAAAGTTGGTTGAAATAGTTAGCTAAAATAAAAAACATAAATTTTAAAAAATAGCTTGCTAAAGTAGAAAATTTAATATTTAAATATATTTTGAACATTGGATGATATCCGAGTAGTGAATAGGGAGAGTTTGAGAGGAAACTAACAACCTCTTAGAGATAGATGAAACTAGATAATCTCTGAAAACATTTGTGAAAATTGGCCAAAAATTCAATAAAATAGTCTTTTTAAGTCATTAAATCCAAACACTGTATTTTTAAGGCATTAAGGACATGTCAACTGTTCTTTTATTGTTCTCTAGTCCAATCTAATTTTATCATTTGACCAACATACCCTTTAAACAAAGTGGCTTCTCCTCCGGCAATGGATAGTGTTGTTCTCTATACTCTACTAAATTGACTATTTATTCTCGGATCTTCAAACAAGAGTTGCGGAGATGTTGGGTAATATGTAGTGCAAGGGGGGCTGGGGCACAAGTGTGTGCATGGAGAAGCCCTAAGTCCATCGTCCAATTCGGATCTCAACTTCCCATTTTGACAAGATTACTTGCTATGGATTGAATAAACCATCTCATTTTGATATTTGAGTGGGTTGTCAAATGGTTTTGAGCTTAATATGATTCTTATAGTTTTGATATTGGGCAGCACCCAACAACCAGAACCGGAATAGATTATATATTTTTTTGGATTTTAGTACATGCCTACATTCACAAACTGTATGAAGATCATTACATTGTATGGCTTATTTCACTGCCTTGTTTAGCTAGAGTACATAGAGTGATTGTGTGTACTCTACTTTGGCTTGTCCTTACAGTCCAAATTTATTTATTTATATTTTGTATTGGACCCCTATTGATCAACAAACATTTTTTATGTTGCCATTTGGTATTTACGAAACTTAAGGTCTTTTCGGGCTCCGAGCTATGTTTGAGCTTAAAATGAGTACTTCCAATAATAAAAGTATTATACAGATTTATTTTTTATATTTTTTCCTTGCTTATTAATTTTTGGGTGCTTTCTATGTTGCTATTTTTAGCTTATATCATATATTCGTATTAATATACTAGCTAATATCCACGTTTAAAGGTGTTATATAATAAAAATTAAGACAATTATTTAATTTTTTTTATTGCCAAATTATTTTGTTATATAGTGAAACAACCTTGTTAACACAAACAAGTTAATGTTGTCTCAAATTGAACTTAGATGTGAAAAGAGTGTCTTTCTTCACAACAATGCCCGCCAATGGCTGCAACCTATTTGTCCTCCAGGTATTGTTCTTCTCCTTTTCCATTGCTATCACCAAAACCAAACTTCTTGCTCTTTAGATTTCAATAAAATCACATAATCAAATCAACAAATGAGGGCAAATTTTTAAGTTTAAATAATATTACTCTTAAATATAGATTTTGGCTAAAAATTTTCGGTGTCGTACCACTTACAATATTTTTGATATAGTTTATTAATTTTTAAGGTATATTCATTTTTTTGGTTCACTTCTCATATTTTGGATAAGACTTATTATTTTTGTAGTTAAAACTTACCATTTTTTAGATTTTTTATTTGAATTTTAATTTTTAAGTACATTACCAAAAATAAAGGGTAAATTACACTCACACCTCCTAACATTTGATTTTATTATATGAATACCCTCTCAAGTTTCAAAAATTATATTAAAATCCCTTGACATTTAAAACTTATAACAAACACACCTCCCCGACTAACCGAGGTTAGAATGGTTGACAGTCAATGCTCTTGTCATCAAAATTAATTATTAAAATACCAAAAATACCCTCTAAATATATGTCCTTACCCCAGAAATTTATCTCATCTCACATTTATCATTTCTTTATTTTATATTTTCATATAAAACTAAAATTTTCTCAATTAAATGATAAATTGTATGTTTCACATATTAGCCGACTTATCGAGAATCTCTTGCATAGTATTCTGAATGAACTCAGAAGGAATTTAGCTGTTGACAAACCAGACCCTTCTTTTCGAAATAAACACTGATCACAGCCCACGCCTCTAGGGTTTATCTCTTCTTGTTTGTCGTTGTATGATGGCTTATATTCTTCTTCCAAATCCATAATTTACGGTGAAATCCAAGTGAAGAAGTTCGAAGTTCAAAACCCTAGAAATATGGGTGTGTGTGTGTGCGCGTGAGAGAGAGAGAGAGAGAAATGGGTTGATGAATTAGCTAAGGCGGCATGTGATTGAATCCAGATTTACCCCCAAATCCATCATGAACACCAATACAGCTAACCACCACCATACACACAGCACCACCACTGGTAACAGAGTAACCCCATCAACTGTCCACCACCTCCATCTTCATTCACCTCCACAACCACACAATACACGCACACAACCACCACAGTCCAACAACCCCACCACATTCTTCTGTAACACCTCCATTTCCACCTCCTCAACCACATCACACTCACAACCCAACAACCACTATTAAAATCAAATCCCAAAACCCCCCAAAATCATACATGCATATTTTTTAAGCTTAAGATCCTTTTGATTTCTCAGATCTTTGCATCGAATCCTTTTGATTTCTCAGATTTGGATGAGAGTTGCTACTGGAGGGTGCTGCAGTGGTGGGGGAGGGGCTAGCAATTTTCACCGGTTCTTCTACGACTTCGGGCTGGTTCTTTGCTTTGGGTATATATATATATATATATATATATACAGAGAGAGAGAAAAAGAGAAGAGAAAAGACTAGCGATTTCGAGTTGGTTCTTCACCTTGGGGGTGAGAGAGAGACAGAGAGAAGGCGCCAAGGCGTTAATGGTGTTGGGTGCAGAGAAGACAACGAAGGCGTAGGGATAAGGCTTGGGGTTTGGGTTTGAGTTTGTGTTAAAGAGAGGGGCAGAATAGTCTTTTTATCAAGACCGTTAACTCTATCTAGCTACTGGGGTCTGATTGAAATTTTCAAAATGTGAGGGGTGTGAGAAAATCAAATGTCAAGGTGTGTGAGTATAATTTATCCAAAAATAAATACTGAGTCTTTGACGTTATTTGCACAAAATCACTACGAACACATTTGAATCAACTAGAGTTTAAATTAATCCGAATCCGAATTAAACTTAATTCTTTTTTTGAATTGATTATTCAACAAACTAATTATTTTTTACAGTTCATATCAAATCCTTTTAAAAATAATCAATCTTATCCAAAAAAGTAAATCAAAAAGTGAATTTTAAAAATTATATTTCAATTTCAACGCAACGTCGTTAAATAATCACCCAATTTTAATCAATATATCTATAGATATGTGTGTATGCAATGATATCGGATTACAATCGAATCCAATTTTTCTATATCCATATCTGTAAAAATTTTGCTACAAAAAGAAATTTTTTTTCATATGCAACTTGGTGATGAAAATGCAACCAAGACAAAGCTCGTCATTCAATAAGGCAAAAAATTAAAAATCAAACATGAAACAGACCACCTTTGAAACTCAGCCATTTAACATTGCTGCCAAAAGCAAAATCTGCTGGCAGTATCAGGCAACTAAACTAGTAATAACACCACATTCCAGTACACTACAGATGAAAATGATGCTTCATCCTTCTACTTAGCAGGGTATAACCAGAGTTACTTGTACATTGATGCCTATAAAGCAGTCATACCAGGGTTCAACAGAAGTAAAAAGCAGACATTTAATCCAATTTTGAGACCCTATCGCTCGAGCAGATATATTAATACAAAACTATGGATACATTAATACAACATGCTGATACAAATCAATTTAACGATCCCAAAAACACCATTGTCATATGCAACACACTACCCAGATGAAAATGAGCAATTCAAAAAAGGAAACTGCTTAAACACACAAAACCAGTACTACTACTAGTACATATTCAAGTCAACCAAACTTGTCATGGATGCTTAGTGAAGAGCGGCCTCAAATGGCATATAGGTATACAACTGAATGAATACAACAAATTCAGGGGGCATTGCCAAGTACAATGGGCAAACAATTACGAGGTTGTGAATGAAAACTTGAGGTCAGCCAGTTTGTTCAAAAACTGTTGCAAATTAGGTCAATATCTAGTTCATCTATCCCAGCATTTAACAATGACCTAACTGTGTAATAATCCTTTAGCGAATACACTAAATTTAAGAATACCAAAGAAACTTTTAGAACTTCTAATTCAATAGGCATTTTTTTTTTTGGGCAATAAGAATACAATAGTTATATTTTACCAAACCAAGATTACAAAGAAGCAGCAGCAAATCCTGATACCTGATTTTCCACAAGGGGTTGCTATATAAATCACCTACAGGATGGGTTCAGAATAAAGGTGGACACCTAAAAATCAGTGAGTTAATTGAATTCAATACTCAAGTTCATATCAGGAAGTATAAAGATGTTTACAAAAATAAATGTTTACACATCAAAATAAAATGGTAGATGAACTCTTAAGTATAGATCCCCATCTTGTCAAACTTCTCCACAAAAAATATAGATCTTCTGCTTAGATCAGATCACCATAAACAGATGGATGACGTAGGAGAAATGCGCCCCAGCGCCAAACCCCATTTTACACATATTGCCTACTTACATTTGTGATTATCTAATTCCTATAAAACAATGGTGGTCATTATCTAGCAGTCCACCTTCAAGAGGTTTTTCCCAGGTAGAGGGCAGTCCCTATCAGCACATGGTATGCACACTGCAAAAAGGTTTGTTCTCCCCAAGAGGATTTCTAAGCTATTTAATGAACCACAAGCTAACAGTTTGAGTCCTGACATCCCAACTATTATCAGGGTAAGCTTTAACTTTCACTTAGTTGCAATGCTAGAGAATCTAAGATAAGTGGGTAAAGCAAAGTAGTACTTATTTTACATAGTAAGAGTGTTCAACAATGTCAAATCAAATAACAGTAGTTCTTATTTTACATAGTAAGAGTGTTAACCGATGTCAAATCAAATAACATAATCATTTTCTGGGAGAAAAACTGGAAAAAACTTAATTATAGGTAATAGACAGTGTGTTTACAAGACCTGCATGAAAATGAAATCCAGTAACAACAGCACCAAAAAAGAAAAAAAAAGGACATAAGAAATGGCTTAATAGCTGTGAGCAGACTCCTCAAACAAAACGACACACTGCAAATAAACAGAGCAAACCATGGCTTATCACACTGTTTGTGGGAGAGCTCTTACCTGCGCTGCCAATCTGCATGTCCTTGAGGGTGTTAATGATCTGATATACCTCTAGCTATTTGAACCATTCTAGTTGTCACAGCAAAGTAAATAGGTAGTTGGCATGAAATTTTGATGTAGGACAACAGGGAGCCAACAAAAACCAGCACTGTTCAAGTTCAGTGAATGCTACCATGAACAGTAAACTAGGGGTTGGATGTGTTATGTATGGATTGTTTGAGAAAGGAGTAGTGTTTTTAGACTATGCTTAAGATATAACAACTAAATTTCAGATATGATTATGCAGTTTAGAACTTGACTAGTTGCATAAAATAGAAAAAATTGGAAGAAAAAGAGAAGAGGAGAACTAGGAATCACTCCTAGGGTTCTTAGGCATCACACCAAGGGTTTGAATTGCATCACACAATTTCCAAGCATATAATTGCTGAAACTTTCGGGTAAATATCTGTCCTTTTAAAAATATCGCTACCTATGCAGATTGTTCCAAGTATTTCCCAATACTAAAAGATTATGATTCCAAATACTCTTCGGACTCCAAATTACTTATAGAGTGGGAAATTAACATAAAGTAGAACTAGAACTCTAAACGCTAGAAACATCCAACACTACTACTCAACCCAAAAGATGATCCACATGTCATAGTATGATCTGTTCCAAAAATATTCCTAACTCTAAAAAATGTAAAAAAGACACATAACTGAAAATATCATCAAACCAACTTTAAGTTACTCAAAAATAAGATTCAACTAGACTAAAAAACAATTATTCAAAAGGTTCCGTGACTTCCGTCTCTATCTTCAAAGCCAGCCAAATTTCATAGATTGTCACATATTTGAATTTGTAGTCCCTTGAACATCTTTTGGGTTGCATCACATTTGTATTTCTTCTAAGACATAAAGGTAGCTATGTGAAATAAAATTTGAAGCTAAACTTGGTGTTTATAGCATATGGCAAGCACTTACTCCTTTATATATTACCAATGAGCCTTTGGTTCATTGGTACTCTTTGTCTTGTAAAGGCTTTGCCTTTTTAAGGTCAAGGGATCAAATCCCCCTCCCCCTTCTCCTTCCCCTTCCCCTTCCCCTTACCCAAAAAAGAAAAAAAAAAAAACTCCTTTATATAGCAACTCAATGTTCATATTAGATATTCTTGATCTAACCCTATGAGGGAAATTGTGGTTGATATGGTAAGATAAGATCAAGATAAACCAATATGGACAAAGTGGCCTAATAGAAAGAAAAAATAAGCCCTAGACATAGGAATTAGACACCAAGTTTGCTCGTTATTAATATGGAGATGACATTCGATACTTGTCAAACACAAGACATGTCCATAACTAGAAACTAAAATGTATACCTTTGGGAGTTCAAACACATCTTTATTCCAAAATAGAAACAGTATGATCATAAAGAAAGATAAACTAACTAAGGTGTCCTCATTCAAAGCATGTTTTTTTTATCATGGTTAAAAGGTTAAATGTAAATAGGCTAAGGTAAAATTTAAGTCGTAATATAAACTATCGGACCAAAACGATCTAGACCATTGTTGTGTTTTGTGAAAGTAGGACTGTGTTTTACAATATAGATTAGAAGTCCGACAATTCAAGAGGAAAGAATCTAAATCACATGCAGCTTTGCATGTTTAGATTCAATTGAAATCTATTTGACACAAGGGAGAAGGGGACATTTCAAAAAACTTAATAGTAAAAGACACTTCATAAATAGGAAAAAATGCATATTGACCCTAAAAACACCCTCCCAAAAAAAAAAAAAAAACCTCTTTTTTTTTTCTCCCCACCACTCACGCACATAGAAAACAAAACTTCCTGGTAAGGTAGATTCCTTACCAAAGTGAAGCACCCAAATATAAATGCTAAAAGCCATATCTAAACCTTGCAATGATCAAAATTGACAGCAAAAATGGAATCGAGCCCAATTCTATAACATTTTTGTGAGATGAGAAAGCACACAAGTCCACATTAGCACACTGCGACTATCACCGGAAAGTTGCATCAGATCAACATTAGAATTAGAATCCACTGCAAAAACAACTAAGTCAACTCCTATTTGCTCCGGATCTACTGGCCCGGACGCTTGCATCTATTCCACCTCAAACAACCGAATATACTATTGCAGGATCTTCCACTGCTTCTGTTGGAACACTTTACATCCAACCCTCTATAATGATATGAATAAAGTTTTTCCCACTTAATTAAACACGCATGTCCCTTCTTTAGTTTCTTTCCCCATGGTTACACTTTTTGTGTCTTAACTACTTATGCAATACCGCATGGTCATCCATACTAAAAATGAGCTCTTAGCGGGTGAAATTAAAATCATAAATCCACCACATTCACAGAAATACAGAGAAAACTACAGTAAGCATTAAAGTTATCAAAATTATGAACAGATCCTTACCCTAAACCCTTTCGGAAAATACATGCCAAACTAAGCAGAAATCTACAAAGAGCATTCTTTCATAGCATTAAAAAACTGAAGCTAAACAAAAGAAAGAATTCATGACTGGAAAGGGTGGTCGAGATTGATGGGTTTATCATCAATAGAATCTAAAAGAGACATGATGTGTTCTTGCCATAAAAAGAGACTGTGGATGATTACAGCGTCGTCCTTGGGGTTCACATCGGTGTGACTGAGGTGGAGTGAGATCAATTTAGGGTTGTTGATAAGGGCAAGCCAGGGTTTGGACACGGACTTGAAGCGGAGGAGAGATTTGACTGGGAGTCTTGAGAGTATTTCAACGATGAGGTCTTGGGGAAGATTGCAACTCGACACTGTTGCAGAGGAAGATGATTTGGTTTCCGACGGATTTCCTTCACCTTTCCCTTTCCCTTTCTCTTTCCCGTTGCCTTTGCCTCGGTTCGTCATTTTCTGAGAATCGATTCGAATAGGATGGGAGTTCAGAGAGGACGGTCACTGTGGGGGAAGCTTTAACCTCGGTTTGGTCAGAAAGAAATTGAAGGAAAGTAAAAATGAAAAAATAAAAAATAAAAGTTATTTTCTTATATGTATTTAATTAGAATGAAAAATTTGTTAAAAAAAACATAAAAAATTAATATAAGTACTAAATTATCCTTATCAAATCAATCTAAAACATGCACAATGATTAAAAATTATAATATAGGCACAACAACCACCGCCCCCAACACAGCTTTCACCGAGCAATTAACACCACCTCCGTCGCTCCCAACACATCCTTCACCAAGCAACCACCACTATCACCAACAACTTCCAAACTAAGCAACACCCACCAGCTACCAAGCCAAGCAACACCCACCAGCTACCAACCAACTAAAAGGAAAAGAGAAAATCAAGAAAGAAAAAGTCTATTGCAAATGTCATCTACTAACCTTAGCCACCATGGTTGCTATAAAATTCCCAAGACCCATAGCAAATGGGAAAAATCTTTGAGAGAGAGAATCCATTGACATTGAATTGGGTCTGGTGAGCCTCCAACCCTTTTTCTGTACTTCGACAGTGCCCCCAAACCCCATCTCTTGCTCCGGCGGTCTCCCAACCCCCATCTTTTGCTCTGGCGTTCCGCCAACCCCAAACCCTTGCTCCATCGGTTCCCTCGAACCCCCACCCCCTGCTCCAGCAGTCCCACCCCCATACCCAATGCTGACAGCACCCCAAAACCCACTCCCGAAAAAAAACTAAAACTAAAACTTATCTACACAACCCCAATCCCCACCTCTACCAAGTAACCCTTGCCCACCCCTCTGTGAATAGCAACCCAAGTAATACAGTTTCGAAAGCCTCGTTCGAAGTTCCTTTGCCATTTATAGCTTTTTCGTTCACTGGCCATCCGAACAAACTCAAGGCGGTGGAAGAAGCTCTTGTCGCGATTGCATCGATACACCTCTGAACGATGTTGATAGACCTCTGAACGATGCCTAGGGTGTTCTCCATTGGCCTCAAATTTTCACACGAGTTTAGGATTGATCGAAAATTTGAGGCTTTTGAGGGTTTTGGTTTTCACTGGGTATGGATGGGTTTCGGTTTTATCGAAGGGGGAGGGACTGGATAATCACCGGTTGAGGGAAGGTTGGGTTTTACTGGGTTTTTGCACTTTTGCTTGTGGAGGATTGGGTTGTTTTTGGATTGAATGGTATAAATGTCTTTTAATGGTGTTAATGTTGACTTTTATCAATTTAGACAGTCAAGAATAACAACAATTGGGTGATTGAGATATGTTAAAACTTGAAGGGGGCAGATTGTCAAAATTAAAACCACGAGGAGCTGCTTGAAACACAACCCAAACTTGGAAGGGGAATTTTGTAATTAACCCAAAATTTTATTAGCAATTTTTTTTGCTATATTAATGCAGAATTATTTGACCATATATATTATATCTTTTGTTAACTAAACCCGATGCTTGGTTAATATGGGTAAGTATATGTGGAACATTACGTCATCTTGGTTTTGTAAAAATGGGGGTGTGAGACCAAAGTACTGTAAGTTCTTCTCGTTCGAACGGTCTCATCCTTCTCCGTTCAAGTCTTCCTTCAAGGAAAAGGTTTTAAGAAATATCTGATTAATCCTAAACTCAAGGGAGACACTCCTAGGTATGATCAGTGGGAACAAGAGGATGCTCATATTATCTCTTTATTATTGAATAGCATTGAGCCTAGTATTGGCTCTACTCTGCTCCATCTTGACACTGCCAAAGAGATAATGGATCACTTGGCCACTATGTATTCTAGTACAGGTAATATTACCCGAGCTTATGAGATGTGTAAGGAGTACTTTCGGCTGGAGTAGGGCACCCTGAGCATTGAGGATTATTACTCTCACATTCGGGGAGTTTGTGAGGAGATGAAGACCTACCATCCGTTTACTACTAATTCAACAGTTTGGCAGAAGCGACATGAGGACCTGAATGTTGTTAGGTTTTTGGTAGGATTGAAACCTAAATATGAGGCTATTCATTCTCAGATTTTGGGTAGTTCTAGTCTTCCCTCACTATTTGAGGTTTTCTCTCGTATACAACGTGCTACTTTGTCTACGATGCCTTCAGGCATCGATCATGATGTCTCCACTAATCGCTCAGCTCTTGTGGTTCCTACTATCCATAGTGATGGTCATCGAGGTGGACGTGGTGGATCTCATTCTTGTACTCACTGTGGCTGTGGAGGGCACACTGTTGATTTTTGTTGGGATTTACATGAAAAACCTTCTGGTGCTGCGAATCAAGCTTCCTATCAGGATGACACCTCTATTTTTGCTTCCATACCTCGGTTAGCTCCACCAGACATTGGGTTAGTTACTATTACACAAGATGAGTATGCTCAGTTTCTATCCTAGCAACAAACTATTCCATTTCCCACCTTTGCTACTTTTGCCCAGTCAAGTACTACTTTCACTTGTTTATTGTCCTCCATTTGCAGTCCCTGAATCATAGACTCTGTCACTTTTGACCACATGATTGGTGTGTCTGATATTTTTTCTACTTATCAGTCTGTTACTTCCACACATAATGTTACTCTTGCTAATGGTACTTGTTCTAAAATTTCAGGTTTGGGGACTACTCACTTAAGTCCTGATATGTCTCTATCTTCCGTGTTATTTGTTTCTCAGTTTCCTTTTAACTTACTTTCCATTAGTAAAATTACCCGTTCTCTCAATTATTTTGTAACATTTTATCCCTCTTATTGTGTCTTTCAGGATCTCAAGACGAAGAGGAAGATTGGTACAGGGAATGAAGTTGGTGGCCTATATTATTTTAATTTTGATTTACCTACTCGGGCTCTACAGACCTCGTTATCTCCTTTTCAGTGGCATTGTCGTCTTGGACATCCCTCTCTCTAGAATCTAAAGCGTCAAGTTCCTAGTTTTAGTTATGTGTCGTCTTTGTCTTGTGAAGCTTGTCAACTTAGTATGCATCACCGTGTGTCATTTCAATCTAGAGTCAATAATTGTGTGTCTAATCCCTTTGAGTTGGTACATTTTGATGTATGGGGTCCAATAAAAAATATTTCATCTAATAAATATCTTTATTTTATGTCATTTGTAGATGACTATTTTCGTGTGACTTGGCTATTTTTTATGAAAGTACAGTCTGAATTATTCTTTATATTGAGACCTTTCACAAGAAAATAAAAACTCAATATGGTTGTCGTATACGTATTTTAGGTTCTAATAATGCTTGAGAATATGAATCTGATCATTTTTCAGCTTACCTTAGTAAAACTGCATTATTTATCAAACTTCTTATGTTTACACCTCTCTATCGAATGGTGTTGTTGAACACAAGAACCATCATTTGTTGGAAGTCACATGTGCTCTGTTATTCCAGATAAATATTTCCCGATATTTTTGGAGTGATACTGTTCTTACTACTTGTCATCTTATTAATTGTATGTCATCCTCTGTGTTATATGGGCAAAGTCCATATTCTGTTATTTTTCTTGGTCAGCCTTTATTTTTTCTAACTCCTAAGGTTTTTGAATGTGTCTATTATGATCACAATTTGGGTCCTGGGTTTGATAAATTTGACCTTTGAGCTACCAAATATGTATTTCTTAGATACTTTCGCACACAAAAGGGGTATCGTTGCTATAGTTCTTCTCTGCGACGATATTTTACTAGTGTCGTTGTCACGTTTGAGGAATATGTTCCATATTTTCCAACACCTGCTTAGCCTTTGGATCTAGACTTTAGGTCGTCTCTTGTACCCACCATCTCTTCCTTCCTCTTCAGATATTACGTTGTCTACTGTGTTACCATCTGCTTTGCCTCTTGGTGTATACTTGCATCGCCCTCACCTATCTACTGAGGTGCCCGTATCGTCTTTCTTGCCGCCTTTGGATCCTGGTACATCAGTTAATTTAGACTTTTTACCTATTGCTCTTCGAAAAGGTACTCGTTTGTGTGTTACTAATCATCTCATTGCTCATTTTATTTCATATGATGTCTTGTCTCCTGTCTTCTCTTGTTTTACCTTTCAATTATCTACTATATCTTTTCCTAAGCACTTACAAGATGCATTATCTGATCTGAGTTAGAGGAAAGCTATGGAGGAGGAAATAGATGTCTTACATCATAATGAGACTTGAGATCTCATTCCTTTATCTCCTAGTAAATGAACTGTTGGTTGTTGTTAGGTGTATACTGTTAAATTTCATCCAGATGGTTCTGTGGAGTGTCTCAAAGCCCAGCTTGTTGTAAAGGGCTTTTCTCAGACCTATGGTGTTGATTATGAGGATACTTTCTCTCCTGTTGCCAAAATTTTCTCTGTTCGTATCTTGATTTCTTTGGCTGCTAATCTTGATTGTCCCTTGATTCAATTAGATGTTAAGAATGTCTTATTACATGGTGACTTAGTTGAAGAGGTATACATAGAGCAGTCACCTGGGTTTACTAGCTCAAGGGGAGTATGGTAAGAGTGTATGTCGGTTAAAGAAATTTTTGTATGGTTTGAAGTAGTAACCGAGGGCATGATTTGGAAAGTTTTCAGATGCAATTTTAGAGTTTGGTCTTCTTCGATGTTAGACAGACCATTCTGTATTTCATAGACAGACAGATGCTGGATATGTTCTATTGGTGGTCTATGTAGATGATATTGTGATTACTGGAAATTATTCTGAAGGGATTGCTAAGTTAAAAATTTTTTTGCAAGATTGATTTCATACTAAGGATTTGAAAAAAATCAGATATTTCTTGGGTATTACGGTGGCTCGATCTAAACTGGGTATTTGTTTATCCCAGAGAAAATATCTATTTGACATACAAGAGGAAGCAGGTTTGCTGGGTGACAAATCGATTGATGTTCCTATGGATCCAAATCATAAATTGTTGGTGGATGATGGTGCACTATTTGAGAATCTTGGTCGGTATCGTATATTAGTTGGGAAGCTCAATTATCTTACTATTATCCGACCGGATATTTCCTATGCAGTCAGTATAGTAAGTCAGTTCATAGAGTGTCCTAGAGTACCACATTGAGAGGCAGTTACTAATATTTTGTGATATCTTAAATGTGTTCTTGGACTTTGACTGTTATATCAAGTTAATAGACATCTTAGAGTGGAAGAATTCTCAGATGCTGATTGGGCTGACTCTACTTCTAATCGGAGATCAACCACTAATTATTGTACTTTCTTAGGAGATAATGTTGTCTCATGAAAAAGTAAGAAAAAATCCATGGTAGCAATATCTAGTGCTAAGGCTAAGTATAGGGCAATAACGCATCTGACGAGTGAATTGACTTAGCTACTACACTTCCTCTAGGAAATTGGATTTCCAGTTCAACTTCCTTTACAATTTTTCTATGACAACTAGGCAGCTATCCATATTGCTATCAATTCAGTGTTTCATGAGAGAACCAAACATATTTGTCACTTTATTCGGGACAAGATAGTAGCCAGAGAAATTATGACTTCATTTGTGAAATCTGAAGATCAGCTTGCAGATATGTTTACTAAAGCATTAAATCGTACACGTCTTATAACAATTTGTTTCAAGCTTGAATTATATGATATATATAGTCCAGCTTGAGGGGGAATGTTAAGAATATTAGGGTAGTATGTGTAAATTATTAAGCGTGTTAAGGTATTATGTGTAAATATAAGAGAGTGTATTCTGTCTTTCTTATTATTGTAAGTTAGCTATAAATACTAGTGATGAATGAGAGGTAAGTTAAGTTTGACCACTCTTTGCTTCTCTCTAATATTGTGTTAATTCTCCCAACTTAACAATCTCAAACATTTTCTCCACACACATTTTCAAATGAAGGATATGGGTTCTCTCAGCTACTTCTTGGGTCTTGAGATCTTGTCTGACTCTAGTGAGTATTATTTCTCTTAGACCAAGTATGCCTCTAATCTTTTTAGTCGTGCTGGACTCATTAATTGCAAGACTATACCTACCCCATTAGAGCAATATGTATGACTTACTCCTTTGGATGACACACCT